CACCCCGCCAGCCAACTCCACGGAGCCATCTACCCGTGGCATGGCGGCAGCGCCCAGCCGAACTCCAGCGGCAGTACACACGCCGAGGGGACACGCCGCACCCATGCGGCCAATACCGCAATCACCTGCACCAATGATACTACACCATGCTATGCAAGACTCAATGGATCAATGTTATTTCAATGCGGCTTACGACCCGCGAACAAACAAGGCAACGGTGGGGGCTGTTATTCTGAATTCACAGGGAGGTTACGTGTCGGCTATGACCACTCCTATCATAGACTGTTTTTCGCCCCTAATGGCGGAGGCTTTTGCATCAAGGAAGTTTTGTCATGGCTAAGAAATCGAGGAGAACAATCAATCGACCTCTACACAGATTGTTTGGTGCTCCAACAATATCTTTCATCTACAACGCACTCATCTCGGTCTTACTTGGGCTATGTCATTGATAGTTGTAGATCTAATTTATTATCTTTTGATTACTGCTTGATTCATTATATTCCTAGATTAGACAATTATTTAGCTCATACATTAGCGTTTACTGCGTTTAATCAGCAGACTAGTATGTATGCGGACTTTGAACCGCCCCACTCTATTTCAACATATTTTGAATAAATGCCGAACAGGCTCCTTTCAAAAAAAAAATATTGTTAAATAATGTCATCTTCTCACAGGCCACACATAATTCAAAACTCAGGGGTAGAAATTTCACTTCAAATTCTTTAAAGCAAAGAAACAACAAGTACATAAATCGGCTGCACACCGGGAAGAATAAGAAGTGAATAACCTGGTTGGAGCCAAAATGAAGACGAAGCACCGGCGGGGTTGAAGCAAGCAATCAAGCCTTGCTGAAGAGGCCCACACGACAGGCCATGGACTCTTCTACGGTCTTCTTCTATGTCCCATTGTTGAATGGCGGCAGTGTGATTTGTTCCCGGCCAAGGCTGAGAAAGCCAGCCAACAGGTAACAGGTATTTTGGGCTAGCGGTTGACAAAATGCTTTTTAGGCGCATTCACATTTGGGCTTTAAATAGCTGTTGAAACAACAAATGCAAAGACTTTTATCCAAAAGCTATACCATCGAACTAAATCCACCTTATAAGGTATATCCGAGTTTAAAATGACAAATTATACTGTGAAACCGTATCTATTAAAAAAAATTATTTTTTTTTTCGCTGTTAACGGCGTTTTTCTTCAAAAGTCTATGTTCATAATTACTGAACTCTATATTAATAATTATAGATCTCTATGTTCATAATTTTTGAACTTCATATTCACAATTATTAAACTCTATATTCACAATTACACAACTCTCATAATTATATAACTCTATGTTCATAATTTTTGAACTCTAAAAGTCTATGTTCATAATTACTGAGCTCTATGTTCATACTTATAGAACTCTATGTTCATAATTTTTGAACTCCATATTCACAATTATTGAACTCTATATTCACAATTACAGAACTCAATGTTAATAATTATATAACTCTATGTTCATAATTTTTGAACTCTATATTTATAATTCTTGAACTAATGAACTTTATATTAATAATTTGTTATGTCGGTGAATTCTTTTGACAAATTAAAAAAAAAAAGATTGATGGAGAGAAAATGTGTCACTAATTGCACCGTTACTCCCGAATTACAGAGTGGGGTCGTATTAGACCCGTGTCCACCTTGTAAGGTGGACCGAGTCCGTGACATAACAATTTGTTTAAAATACACAATTTATATACAAAATGTTTACAATTCAAATTATGGTAAGTATTTAATATGTAAATTGTGAATATTCATTATATAAATTATATACTCCGTATTTTTTTTAATTGGATTTATCTTACAAGGTAGTCCTAGGTCCATAGAATAATTTGCCACTTGCACCCCTGCAATGTTTGAAAACAACAAAGCTTCTAGAGAAATGAGGTCAAATCGTAATTATAAATCATCACAATCGACCCCTGCAATGTTTGAAAACAACAAAGTTTCTAGAGGAATGAGGTCAAATCGTAATTATAAATCATCACAATCGATATGTTATAAAGAAGAGTTCTAATACATAGACTTCCAAAATTCTACTTCCTCATTTATACTCTCTGAGGTGGTAAATTATGATTGGCTATTTTTATCATATGAGTCCACAGAAAAATGTCTACATCAAGAACATGTGAGAGACATTACAAGTTGAGAATTTAAAATGGAAGTACACAAAGTATTTTCCTATAAAGAATGATAATGGTTTTAAAATCAAAACAAAATAAATACATAGACAAAATTACGATGTCATATAACTGTGTATGCCATTACAACTTAATTTAATATTGCAATGGTAAATAACCACCGCCTTAAAAGCAATTTCACTAATCATATCATAAAACAATGTTACTCATAAAGTGAACACAACAATCATAAAAATGGATATGAACTAAGGGTGCAATGACATACTTAGTAAGAGATAATATAATATGTGTATACGTATATCTACATTTTATATATTATTATACGTCACAATTCACTTATAGTGATCAACTCAAATTTATATTGATTTTTACGTTTAAACTAATTGTGAAAAAATGGTATGCCAATAAAATAGAGGGTAGAGATTTGAAATTTTGATTAAATTAAATAATTAAAATTCAAAACTTTTGCACTGACAAATACATTTCCAAATCAACCCACATATTTGTGCAAATATTCCCAGTTGCTCACTTGTGATTAAACATCCACAAATGGTAAGTATACTCAAAAACAAAAAACAAAAATGCAACTCCTAAATAGTATAAAGTCCAAATTTATTGCAAGTACATACTAGCAATCCCATAGACACAAAGCATTATAATTTCATCCTCTTCATTGCAAAAGGGATACTTTGTCCTTATTTTTATTTTGATATTTTAAAATATCCAATCAAACTCCTCATCGTTATATATATATATATATATATATATATATATATATATATATATATATATATATATATATATATATAATATGATTTTTTTTAATATTATAATAATGGCTACTACAAAAGAAAATAGTCGAGCATCACTGGATTCGTGTAAGGCGAGGTTCACCCCATATACCATTTGTTAAGTTCAAGATATTTATTTGGTTGTCTCCGCTCTTTTGTAATTGTATTATTGACAAGCGCATCAACATACATATTTTATTCCCTACAAACATTTATCAAATGTGAAAAGTAGCATGATGTTTTAACATTGGGTTTAGGTTTGAGCCAAGGTTGCCATTGAATTAAGGTTTAGAGGCAAGGGTTGAGCTAAGGTTTAAGTTTAGTTAGGTTTGCATTAAATGTTTGCAACAGGAGTTGCAAATCTCTTGACACACAAATCAACTGCTAATATTCACTTGAGTTGGCTATAGATAGACAATCCATCTTTATTGTAAATTATCTCATCACATCTCGTCAGATAGAAAGTATAGCGAGAAGAATGGTAGATGGTTGTGAAATGACAAATTAAAGTGCTCTTGAGAAAACGGCTAGAGACGGAAAAATGTAATGGAAGGATGGTAAATGGTTAAAAACGTAAATGTGAGAGGACTGGGTGGTTTATTTAAAAGTTGAGGACTAAAAGTGGCGGTACCACCAAAGTCGGTAGGACGTCCGCCGGTATTTACTCAAAGCATAACATAGTAGAATATCATTAGAGAGATAGAGAGTTATATTCATAACTCCTATTGTAATTATCATTTTTGTCAATACAAAATCCTTCTTCAAATTGCTGTATTGCGTGTATGATTTATTCTAAATCTTACATTAGAAATATTAAAATATTCTCAATATTTTTAGCCCAAGTTACTATTGTAATTAGGTGGCAAATTATGCCCTGGACCCGTGTCCACATTGAATTGTGGACACGGGCCCAAAACGACATCGTTTTTCAAAAAAAAAACGCGTCATTTAGTTAAAAAAAAAAAAAAATCGCGCGCGTTTTGCCGTTAACGGCGTTATTATTATTATTTTTAATTATGAATGTACAGTTATGCCGTTATGAATGTACAGTTATGCCGTTATGAATATACAGTTATGCAATTATGAACACAGAACTCTAACATTATGAACTTACAATTATGAACATATATAGTGATAAAATTATGACCATGGAGCTTTAAAATTGTGAATATAGAGCTTCGAAGATTATGAATGTACAGTTATGGAGTTATGAATGTACAGTTATAGAGTTATGAATCTACAGTTATGGAGTTATGAATCTACAGTTATGAGATTATGAATCTACAGTATGGAATTATGAATGTACAGTTATTGATCGAATTATGAACAAAGAGCTCTAACATTATGAACTTACAATTATGAACATATAGTGATAAAATTATGAACATAGAGCTCTAAAATTGTGAACATAGAGCTTCGAAAATTATGAATGTACAGTTATGGAGTTATGAATGTACAGTTATAGAGTTATGAGCGTACAGTTATGGAGTTATGAATGTACAGTTATTAACATATAGTAATAAAATTATGAATATATACTCTTACAATGAAGCGGTCTGAATTAAAAAAAAAAAAGGAGATAACAGTGCCTAACGGCACTGTTACCCGTGTCCAGCATGCTGGACACGGGTCCAACGCATAACGATTGTAATTAGGTGGTGTAAACTCGCATTGATACCTTCCCACGCATGAAATGGAACCCAGGCATCTGCATCCACTAAGCTGTAAGCTCCTAAATACTTTGTGTATTGCATCTACCAATAACCTGTATTATCTCGTATCAAATTAGTATAATATAAATTGTTACATCACAAGTTTATTTACAATTGAGATTCCATTTCTAAAAATTATGAATTTAACTCATATATTACTATAACTTTTTCAATGCAAAGCAAGCTAAGTCAAATTATTTCCTTAATCAATAAGTAAAACTATCAAGATCGCAAGTCGCGGTTTTAGAACACCACCTATATCTTAGGTTGGTTTTTGCTTATTTCCCGGTAAAGGAACTTCTACGCCCAACGCCGCGTGAATTCGACTGCTTGCCGAAATAGAAATACCCCAGTAATTTACGGAGTAAAATGTAGAAAGAAAATTGCAGACAGGGGTCTCTCATATTTCTCCTTTCGCCCCTTTAATCTTTCTTCTTTCAAAAACAACCCCTCGCCCGCCGTTCCTTAATTCCTTTGTCTTCTTTCGCAGTCCTCCTCCTTTCCACGCCTCTCTTTCTCCACCCTCATATTTTCACCATTTTACATTCGTATACTTTTCTACCCGTCTTGAACTGTCAGCTCTTTTCTTCTCATTTCTCCGTTGAATCGGATCTGATTCAACCTGTGTGGTTATGCGTTCAACAATTCATATTCAAATATAGTTCAGTTATACATAAACCTCATATTCAAATATATATACAGGCAGGTTGAGTCATACGTACTGAAACGAATCGGAACAGGGAAGCGGCAATGGAGGGCGGGAGAGAAGGGAACGGAGTTGATGCCGGCGAGGAGCATGAAGGGTTTCCCCCGGCGGTTGCTTTGGGTCGGAGGAAGTACACGCCAGTGGTGGCGCACGATAACGATCCGGCGATGGTCGAGATGTCGACTGTGGATCTCGGATCTTCATCGTCTTCCTTTCCACCTCAGGATCTCAAGTACTTCCTCTGTCCCTGCTGTGCGATTAATTTTTTGCAGTTCAGTCGTTTTAAGTTCACCTGCGCATAGATACAAACATTTAGAGAAAGATAATTGACAATGCAGCTCATAAACTCTGCATTCTCTCTTTAATGCCTCCCATCTAAATCTTTGGGCAAGGTTTTAGATGGGGGAGAAGGAGGTTCTATAAACAATGGAGCCTTATGCGCTCCATCAAAAGCATGAGAAGAGAGATGAGTTTAATTTAAAGTATAGCGATCAAGTTGAAGTTACTTCAAACTATGGCTGTGTTCATTTTTTCCGGACTTCTTTGCTAGACAGTTGAATTTTAATTGTACTGTGATATTTTTGAACAGATAATAAAGGATGGTGGATCTTATCATTCTTATGACATAAGTTCGAACTGAAGATAAGCTAATATTAGCAGTTAATTGTTTAAGAAGTCATAGGGAATCTAGGACTTTGCTGCTTCGGTCTATGTGCTTGGGGTTCTTTTGATTTTCTATACTGACTTGGGCATCTTTTGTAGAAACAACTTTAGTTCCAATAGATCTATAGGATCTTCTAATGTTGTGCTAACTATTCACTATACATTTGCAACTTGAATACTGGCTCCTGAGAAGGCACTTGTCTCATTTCAGAATTTGTCCACAGAATAAATACAACATTATCTTTTCAGGTAGTGGTTCTTTTCTGATTTTTTTTTTTTTTAGAAACTTCAAGGGTGTAATTGTAGGTGCTCTGGTGAAAATAAGGTTTAGAATCTTAGTTGCCTAAGATTTTAAATATGATTTTATGCTCTGATCTAGGCTGAATTAGGTCAGAAAATAAATTTCCAGTGTTAGTTAAAATGAGGCTGCAATGTGCTGGAAAAAGCAGATCCAGCAAGGTTCAGGATGAATGACTGAGTTCTAACAAATCAAGGCTTAAAATGAATCTCCAACAAGTGGGAAAGTTTGGAGGATTTTTTTGGGGTTAGAGTTTTGGGGCAGTAGAGTTCCATAAGAGAGGAACATATAGCTGAGTCTATAATGACAAACTAGAGGTTGGATTATGACATTGTGTCACATTGATGCTTTTGATAACAGTTTCTTGTTTAAAATACACCGTGTGGGGTTCTTACACATGGTGCCATAATATAACACCATGGAAAGACGTAGGATGCACTCATTATGATTTGAGTCTATGCCATGACATGAAAACAGTGCCACTAGGATGGAATCCTTTTGATGGCAGTGTGTGGAGAAAAATCCATTAAGGGGTATAGGACATTTTGAAACTTCTTATATACTGTCATATGATGAGGTTTTAACACTTAGTAAGGTGCAAATTTACCATAATTGATCAATGCTGCAACAATTCCAAGTAGAGCACTTTAAATTAGATGAGGAAGTACAAGTATAAACTGCATCTTTCTTCAAATTGTATCCTCCCAAGAGAATTTTATATTCTCAAGATCAGGGATTAAAACTCTTAACTCTTTAACTCTTTTTAGGTTAATTTACTATTTAAGATGTATACTTCTTCATCGATAAGACGATAACTTATGGTATTTGTCCTACGCAATTGAGCCGTAACTCCATCAACTATAAAAGATAAGAATAATAATAATTTGGAAACTTCTGGAGGGAAGGTTCTTTTTAGGAATAAAGGAAGGAATACAAGAATTCATTCATGGTTTGATTTGGTTCAACAGGTTCTATACATAAAACTCCAATAAAGAACTATGATGTTTAAAGAGTTTTCATGTAAATAGTTTCACAATGCTGGATAATAGACACTTGATAAGGTCTGCTATACATTCATGTTAGCCACATATTTTCAGTCCCCTTTATTTCCCTATAACTTTGCTGCTTATGAGATATTCTGTTTATTGTAATTTAAAGCACTATGTTATCTTGCACAATTTTGACAGGAAAATTAAAGTGAACACGCAACAAAATTCAGCCTCCGAAGGAAGCGAAGGTTCTATACATAATCATGTTGGTGTGAATGGACCCCAGACAGAATCGAAGTTAGAGTTGTTTGGATTTGATTCTCTTGTCAATATTCTTGGTCTTAAGAGGTATGAGATGAATTATTCACACCTGATTCTGTTCATTACCATTCAGTTTCATCTCTTTTCCATCTGAAAAACCTTTGTCTTGTGTTAAATTTGTTATGCTATTTCTTGATTTCTTCTCTTTTGTTTGATTGAATTTTTTGTTTTGAATAATCTTATGTTAAAGCTGACATTTCTGAATGTTTCTTGACATTTGATATTTATGCTCTATAAATGTTTTCCACCCTTTCAAGGTCATTATGATTTAGGATTTTAGAATTTGGTGCTTGTAAATATTTTTATGAGTATTTTGGTTCCAGTATGATAGGGGATCAAATGCCAGCCCCCTCAAGTCCCAGAGATGGTGATGATGTGACTATCTCAGTTGGGCACCCTCAGGTACTGATTGGATTTATGATTGTGCTATTACTATTTTCTAGTTTGTTACTGGGGTTTTAATTGTATTTATTCTCTGTATAATGTTTCAATCATAGTTCTCCTTCAATTATCCATTTTATAATTCCCGACATCCTTGTCATTATCTTTCCATTTTTTGGGGAACAGTTGTTAGAATATATTGTAGCTTGTGAAATGTTTGAATAACGATGACATACAAGAGGGTGGGTAGGATTAATGATCTAATGTAACTCTGGTGAGAGTTGTTAGGTTTGTGTGGTATGAAAGTGGGCTGTAAGATTGATAGAGGGATTGAATTTAGTTCATTAAAGAACACTCTAGAGAAGAACTTTGAGGCTGTTCTTGAGGCTAGCTTACTTCCATGGACTGTAACTTTTGGCTGCACTGAACTGTGGATCGAAGAAATGTGAAACATTCTGGCATCATTCATAGAACACCATTTTTTTGGCTCCATGCTACTTGGAAGAATTTCAATTTGCTGGAGATATCGTATGGTCACTATATAATGATTTGGGGATGACTATATATTCCTTAAAAGGAACACTTCAAGGTCTGACTAATTTTTCCTATTATGTATTCTAGAGAAATATACACCTAAAAAGACACTACTTTAAAATTGTCTGTGTGTGGGTGAAAATATTACTTCAAATATTTCATGGTTCTTAATGGTTCTTTGTGTGAAGTTCTTACAAGCATGTTATTATTGTATGTTTTTTCTATCAATATCCCATTGTTAAATTTTTTACGTCTGATTTTGATAGAAACATGAATGTCCACAATTTAATATGTACGTGGAATGTATATTGATTGTTTCTTATACATTTGCCATTGATGTCTAGCCTTCTGTAGCTTTGGCCATAGCCCATAGTAATAATACCAATTTTCATTATTATATATTTTTGAGCTCTATGAAGCTTTTTATTACCTTTTGCATGGGCATTAATGTGAATTATTCATGCAGCCTAATGTTGTCAAATTGGGAACCATGATGGGAGTTTTTGTGCCATGCCTGCAAAATATTTTAGGAATCATCTACTATATAAGATTTTCCTGGTAAGCTTGTTAACTTTCATTTGGAGTTCCAATTAGATACTGTGTATGGTTGGAAAGTAATTTAGTAAGTCATGTGTTCCTAATATTTATACTCCCAAGACTTTTGTGAAACTTTATAATGTAAACTTTTCAAAATTTTGTTGTGAAGTTCATATACTAGGAAATTTGAATATACTCTCTTGTGTGGTTATGCTTATAAGTCAAACTAAGATCAGCTTTCCTCCATACTGCTCATAGCCTCATATAGTCTTCATTATGAGATAGTCTGGTGAGAGCTGAGAAGGGTGAGAAGAAAAGAGAGTTGGGGGATAGACGATAAAATGAAGGTTAAACAATGATGGGAAGAGAGGAAAAGTATTTATAGGACTAAATTAATCTTATTTTAAACTGTGTGCTTTCTTATACTTGTTACATATTTATCTATTTTCTCTTCTTTCTCCTTTTGTGGGAGAATTACAGGATTGTTGGAATGGCTGGAATTGGTGAGTCATTGTTGCTAGTTGCCTTCTGTGGATCATGTACTTTCCTGACTACAATATCATTGAGTGCTATTGCAACTAATGGTGCAATGAAGGTAAACGAATGCTCTTGATGAGATTGTCATTTGTCTGAATATCAAGGAGATGACCTTTTCTGGTCTTGTTGCTTACTAGTTTTTTCTTTTCTAGGGAGGTGGCCCATACTATCTTATTGGTCGTGCCTTGGGTCCAGAGGTTGGTGTTAGTATTGGTCTCTGTTTTTTCCTGGGGAATGCGATTTCTGGGGCTATGTGAGTAAACGATCTTATCCTTTTCCCCATGACTGTGCTCTTAGTATATTACACTGATGTTTTATGTTTGCTTGTACTTCAGGTATGTATTGGGAGCGGTAGAGACCTTCTTAAATGCTGTGCCAGGTGCAGGGATTTTTAGAGGTAATTTTTAGCATTAGGGGCATGTATCAGTCTGGGCATTGTGGAAGATAAGGGGCCTCTATCCTGAGGATCTCACCCAATTCTTGTCCTTTGAATTATTTTACAAATTTCTAGCATTTTTTAGTTTGTTTCTGTTGCCTGATCTTGTTACTTTTAATATCTGAGATGGCCCAATGTTATCATCTGTAGAAAGGTTAGGGGGCGTTTACTTCATTTCTCTGTTTTTCCTTTTCCATTTTTCCATTTCTCCATTTTTCCAGTTTTCCATCTCCATTTCTCTGTTTTTCCATTTCCATTTCTCCAGTTTTTCATTTCTCCAAATTTTTTAAATTTCATTTTACAAATTCAAACTTCAAAATAAAAAAATGCAATAAATTAATACTAAATGTGTAAAACTAACGAAAATTAATAAAAATATATTACTAAATAAATTGTAATTGTTATAATCATTACACATAGTTTGGTTATAAAACAAGAACATCATTGATTACAATCTCCCCATATAGCATTTGCTATGTCTTCTCGAACTTCATGCATAACATGTTGTTGAGACATATCTAATTCTATGGGATCATTTCCACCATTGCTTCCACTACTACTAGGCATTTCCATGTCTTCCCTTTCATATTCGGTAAATAATTGGTCCATAGCATCATGCATCCGTATAAAATTGTGCATTGCATCTTAGGGTGCCGTTTGATCCTATCGTATAAAATATCAAGAAAAACGACCAAGGTACTATCCAACCACTTTGCATCTTCGTCATGCGTATTCCGTAAATTACTCATCTACAATTTTCATTAATTATTCAATTTCCATTAAAACCTTGTTTAAAATCAAAACCTCATTTAAAATCAGAACATTACCATTGAGCTAACATCAGAACCTCATTTTGAGGTTCTAAAATCAGAACCTCAAAATGAGGTTCTAAAATCAGAACCTCAAAATGAGGTTCCAGTTCTGCTGGAACCTCAAAATGAGGTTCTACAATTAGAACCTCATTTTGAGGTTCTAAAATCAGAACCTCAAAATGAGGTTCTGCTGGAACCTCAAAATGAGGTTCTACAATTAGAACCTCATTTTGAGGTTCTAAAATCAGAACCTCTTAGAACCTCATTTTGAGGTTCTAAAATCAGAACCTCAAAATGAGGTTCTACAAGCAGAACCTCATTTTGAGGTTCTGTTTTGAGAACCTCAAAATGAGGTTCTGCTGGAACCTCAAAATGAGGTTCTACAATTAGAACCTCATTTTGAGGTTCTAAAATCAGAATCTCAAAATGAGGTTCTAAAAGCAGAACCTCATTTTGAGGTTCTCAAAACCGAACCTCAAAATGAGGTTCTACAATTAGAACCTCATTTTGAGGTTCTATAATCAGAACCTCATTTTGAGGTTCTCAAATCAGAACCTCATTTTGAGGTTCTCAAATCAGAACCTCAAAATGGGGTTCTGTAAGTAATAGAGAAATTAGATATGAGATAACATTCATCAAAATAAATAAAAATAGGTTTAGATAATTACTTGTGGACTTGGACAAGATCCTACAGAAGATTTTGGAGAGTCCGTGTTGAGTTGTTGAGATGCAAGGTTCACCAAAGACGGTAGAGTCACCGGAGTTCTTGTGCGGCTTGTCGGAGTGCTGCTACGCTCCTCTTTGCTGTACGTGAAGGAAGGCTGCTACGCGAACGATTGGTAAAAGGAAAGAAGGCTAATGGGAAGAAAAAGGACTGGAGACGAGGGGAAAAGAAAGAAAGAAGGCGAAGGAGATGATGGGAAGGGGAGGGAGGCGATAGACTACAGTCAGTCCAGGGAGAGAAGAAAAGAAAGAAGAGAAGGACTAACCCTAGAAGGAGTAATAAAAAATTGTCGTAAGCTAGATTCGAACCAACGACCTTACTTAATTTTACTGTTCACCCGCGTTTTATTCCATCCTTCCATTTAGAGAATGTTGTTTTCCATTTCTCCAAAATTGTATAAGAAATGGAAGAATGGAGATGAGATTGAAATTGGAAGAATAGATTTAGTAAACAAGTTCTCCAATTCTCCTTTCTCCACTTCTCCAATTCTCCATTTTTTTGGAGAATTCTCCATTTTTCCAAGTTAGTAAACGCCCCCTTAGGAGTGCAGAGTGCCATCTATTGGTATCTTCTACTACAATTAGATCTATCTTCCATTTTTACCTGTTTAGTTGTGGTGTGTCAAAAACTCACATTGAGCTTGTTACTCTTTATTTGCTGGTTTGGTATAATTCTACCAAATTTGTATCCAAATCTAAACTTTATTTGCTTTCTTTGCATTTATGCAGAGTCAGTCACAACTGTTAATGGTACAGCAATTGCAGAGCCCATCACAAGACCAAGTTTGCATGACTTGCAAGTCTATGGGATTGTTGTCACTATTGTTCTGTGCTTTATAGTATTTGGAGGTGTCAAAATGATCAATCGTGTTGCACCAGCTTTCCTCATACCTGTTTTTCTCTCATTGTGCTGCATATTTCTTGGCATATTTGTGGCAAGGAAGGACCGTCCAGAAGGTTTACATTGTTCAAACCTTGTCTTTTTCTCTGAAGTTTTCTTTTGTTTCTAATTCGAAGTGCTTTGGTACTGGGCCAATTAATATATATTACTGGGAGGAGCTTGTTTGACATTGAAATCAGAATAGTTTGTTGCGCCTATTTGGGCCTTTTGCTTTTAGAAAGACTGCAAGAGGGTTGTGACCAGTTTATTGGTGGGTGCATGCTTTGTATATATGGATGAACAGTTATTACTGACCATTAGGGTAAAATCCAGTAATTAGTTTCTATAGTGTGTAGCACAGTTAATCTCTTTTATCCTGAGATGTAGGAGCAAGCTTGATTATGATGCAAGATTGATTTGGTTCAAGCCCATATGGATTTTGCTTTTACTCTCAAAAGTTTATTGCTTGTCAGCCTAGTGAACCTATCCAAATTCTGGTATGAGTGTTATATGGACAGGAGTCTAACACAAGTAGGTCCAGCTCCAATTTATATAATTTGTCTATTTATTTTGGAGGGTCATGTGAAGTACTTAATGCCCATTATGGACACTGGGTAAGAGGAAGGGTCTGAATGACATAGGATCTAATAATTTCAGGGGAAAATTGAAACAGCAAATATTCTGCATGAGTTATTCAAAAATTGAGCAAATGGAAAAATTCCTTTCTTTCCATATATGGGGAAGTAATTCCACTAATTTTATCTATGTGGAAAGCTAATTCAAGGATGTACCAAATGTTTACTGTGCTTAACTGTCCTTGTTTATACTGAAGGTGTTGATGTTTCCATGGCTTTCATTTTTTTTATTTTTTATTTTTGCTTTTTCACATTAAATTTTATTTTCCTGCACACATTCATGTGACAATCTGTGAACTTTCTTTGGTTATGCTACAGTTGGATTCACCGGGTTGAGTTTGGAATCTTTTAAAGATAACTGGAGTTCTGACTATCAGATGACTAACAATGCGGGAATTCCAGATCCTAATGGAAAGATATACTGGGGTTTCAAGTAAGATATACTGGAGTTCTGCTTTTCATACTTTTCTGGATATGTGGACTTAATCAGTGAACCAACAAATAATAGTTGCGCACTTGCACACCACTTCTTTTCAAGTTATAAAGAATTTGAACTCCTGAACCTGTTCCCTGACTGGTTTGTCATCAATCATTTGAAAATATAAAAGTTATTCAGTATAATATCTTTGTATACCTTCATCTTTGGACCTATAATTTTGTTCTAAAGCTTCCTACAAAACAAAAGTAAATTTAGTAGAACAGAAAATGTTATAAATAGGAGGCAGTAGAGCACTTAAGATCCCACCATGGCAGAGATTCTTTTGCATCATACTTACCGGATTCATAAATAACTTTGGTTATCCTAGATGATTTGTTCTCTTTGGTTTTTCAACTTCATTTTGATTTACTTAATTGAGACGTAAGGTGGTAAGCGAGAATTTCATTTGTTGTTGCCAGCATTTAAAATTCACTCCATTCTATCTTGTATTCTAATGTCTTTCAAGGTAGGAAACTATTTTCATTAGTAAAGCCATGCACATATGTATTGTTTGCTTGCATGCATTAAGCATTTTGATAAATGAAGCTATTAAGTGTGTTTCTTTACTAGTGTAAAGAGAGATGTAACAGTTTTTCCTTATGGGCTACTTCTAACTAAAAAGATAATAGCAATGAGTTGACACACCTGTTTGTTCAATAATATTATTGGGCTGATTACTCCTACTGCTGATTGAAGAATATCAAATGCTATGATATCAATTTTCTGATTGACCACTAAATTATATCAACCTAGAATTTCAGTTGTCAAAATGAGAAAACTGCAGCTAGAATTCGTCTTAATAGGGCCAACTGATCATAATGGCTTGTAATGTGTTTTTTTATTGCACCTCTTCAGTGCATTGGTAGGTCTGTTTTTCCCTGCTGTGACTGGGATCATGGCAGGTTCTAATCGTTCAGCCTCACTAAGGGACACTCAGCGTTCTATTCCTATTGGAACTTTAGCTGCAACTTTGTCAACAACTGGCTTGTATTTGGTTACTGTGCTTTTCTTTGGAGCTGTTGCACACAGAGAGAAACTTTTGACTGACAGGTATTATTGTGCAAAATATGATTTGTTGTTTTTGGTTTTCAATAAGCAAGAAAATATGGAAATCATGGGATGAGGTAGAGGTCTTCTGTATATATAATATCATTGAGAATTGCGACATAATTTGATTATGCACAAAGCTTATCAAAATGTTTAATTAACTTGCTAAATCAAAGTCAACATTGGGCATTACACATATTGAGAGTAGTGCTTAGCTTATACTCTGTTGCTTTCTAAATTGGACATCCTAGTTTGTCTTGGCACAGGAGTACAGGACCACAGGTTGTAAGAAGAGTTTAAAAGCATGTCTTCCACTTTAGTGTATGACTTCAGTACTTGTGCAGGTTACTAACAGCTACAGTTGCTTGGCCATTCCCTGCAATTGTTTATGTTGGCATCATCCTTTCAACCTTGGGTGCAGCTCTTCAAAGCTTAGCTGGTGCTCCACGTCTTCTTGCAGCTATAGCAAATGATGACATATTACCTGTTCTTAATTACTTCAAGGTGTCAGATGGAAGTGAACCTCATGTGGCAACTCTATTCACTGCCTTCATATGTATTGGATGTGTTGTGATTGGGAATCTAGACCTTATCTCACCGACCACAACAATGTTTTATCTTCTATGCTATGCGGGCGTGAACTTATCCTGCTTTCTTCTGGATCTTTTAGATGCTCCCAGCTGGCGTCCTAGGTGGAAATTTCACCATTGGAGTCTTTCTCTTGTAGGAGCATTGATTTGTATAGGTAATCCTGGGTTACCACTTACCAGTTTTTACTGTTAGTCTGTTACTGGATTACAGTTCCCAAAGGATAATTGATCCAAGGAGCTGTTCTAATCCATGCAGCTATTTTATTTTCATTTTTGTAGCATAGTGTGTAACTTTGAGTTTTACTAATCTGAGTCTTGTTGCATTTCAAAGCACATTTATGAGTTTATCTTTTTGTCTCTGCAGTTATCATGTTTTTAATATCTTGGACATTCACGATTGTGGCCTTGGCCCTAGCAACCCTCATATACTATTATGTTTGCCTCATGGGAAAAGCTGGAGACTGGGGTGATGGTTTCAAGAGTGCCTATTTTCAGCTTGCCCTTCGTAGTCTACGGTCTCTGGGAGGTGTGTACGCTTATCTTGAAAAGTACTTTAAATTTCTTGCTAAAGAGCCTTTGCATAACTGCCATGGTTTGATGCTTTGTTATATATTTTACTCTTTAAAATTAAGATGAAGACATGTGATCTGACTTTTGAGTCGCATCTAATTTTACACAGCAACCCAAGTACACCCGAAGAACTGGTACCCTATACCCCTCATATTTTGTCGTCCTTGGGGCAAGCTGCCTGAGAATGTCCCTTGCCATCCTAAGCTTGCTGACTTTGCCAACTGCATGAAGAAAAAAGGCAGGGGAATGTCTGTGTTTGTTTCTATTATGGATGGAGATTACCTCGAATGTGCTGAGGATGCTAAGACAGCTTGCAAACAGTTAAGTACCTACATCGACTACAAGCAATGTGAAGGTGTAGCAGAGATTGTCGTTGCCCCAAATATGTCTGAAGGCTTTAGAGGCATTGTTCAAACTATGGGCCTTGGAAATCTCAAGCCAAATATAGTTGTGATGCGTTATCCTGAAATTTGGCGTCGTGAGAATTTACTCGAAATTCCTGCCACCTTTGTTGGGATAATAAATGATTGCATTGTTGCTAATAAAGCAGTTGTTATTGTGAAAGGCCTAGATGAGTGGCCTAACGAGTATCAAAGACAGTATGGTACTATCGATTTGTATTGGATTGTGAGAGATGGCGGTCTTATGCTTCTTCTTTCGCAGCTCCTCCTCACCAAAGCAAGCTTCGAGGGCTGTAAGATTCAGGTTTTCTGCATTGCAGAGGAAGATTCTAACGCTGAGGAACTGAAAGCTGATGTAAAGAAATTCCTTTACGATCTCCGCATGCAAGCTGAAGTGATTGTGATTTCAATGAAGTCGTGGGAAATCCATGGTGAGCAGCAAGAATCAACCGAGGCATTTAGTGGCGCCCAGCAGAGGATCGCCAATTACTTGGCAGACATGAAGGAAAAAGCTGAGAGAGAAGGGACTCCTTTGATGGCCGATGGAAAGCGTGTTATTGTGAACGAGCAACAGGTGGAGAAGTTCCTTTACACCACTTTGAAGCTCAACTCAACAATACTCAAGTACTCTAGAATGGCTGCCGTGGTGCTTGTAAGTCTGCCTGCTCCACCTCTCAGTCATCCATCATACTTCTATATGGAGTATATGGACCTGTTGGTCGAAAATGTGCCTAGGTTGTTGATAGTCCGAGGATACCACAGAGATGTTGTCACATTGTTCTCATAGATTTCTATGTTCCAGACTTCCAGTACATGATGGATACTCCTTTTCTTCTACCCCTTTGGTTCATAGTTCTTTTTTTTTTTTTTTTTTTTTTTTTTTTTTGGGTCCACTTTTATGGGGGTGTAAAATTGTAGTAGTAGTTTACATAATTACGTGCCATTCATTGATCTCTCTTCAGTGCCGCTTGTCACAGAAAATTTTGCTAATATTGGAATGAACTTTAAGCTGATTGAGGAAATTTGTTCATTTCAATTAATATTATTATTTTTGCCCCAAACTTTTTTATTTTTATACGAGGAAAAAAAAAGACATTTGAGCATGATTCTTATATTTGAACCTTTTCAGTCGAATTTGTCCTTTATGATTTTTTTGGTATAATTTATTTTTTTGTGCGGTTGATGACAACAAATTTCTCTAATTACAAGAAAAAAATTTACACAAAAAATAGACATGCAAATATTTAACGCCAATAGTCTGAGTGAAGATTGTACATTGCAGTATTTTTTATTTTTTATTGAGCAAATTTTACTATGATGTCTTGATTAATATACATTGTTATGTTTAATCTTCTTTTTTTGGTCACAATTAGTCATTTATTTATGCAATACCTTTGTAGTTTGTAAAGATATTTATGCTTTAAAAATGTTTAGAATACGATAAATTTTTTTGTTAGGATGAGAAACGGTCAATGGGACGTCGAGCTGTCAATTTTTCAAATAGCTATCGTTGCCAATTCCTTCTTTTTCTTAGTCATGAAGGGTGACCAATCTAATCTAACTTAGTGGATAATAGTACTTGCAATCTCTCTTATGGTTCGTCATTCAACAAAATAAATAAAACATTAGGATAATACTATTTGCCAATTATTATTATTATTATTATTATTATTATTATTATTATTTTACAAAATTTTGTGCACAACAAATTTTGTTTCAAATGCTCATCTTATTACTTTATAATAAAAATTTTCAATTCACAAATAATTAACATAACACTCATTACAAATCATATCATCTATGATACTATTATTAGAGAGCAGTTTTCAATTTGTCTTAAATTATCAATTTTGGCTTTATTAGTTTATGGAAAATACTACTACTACTTTCAAATTTTACTTCTAACTTTTACTCTCTCTCACAAAATTTTGATATTGATATTTTAATTGGACCCACATGATTGAAGATAACTATCGTGTAGTGTGATGACACCCCAATTTCTGGTTACCATTTTAATTGGATGGTCATAGGTTCGAACTCCGGTGGTGGGAGCTTAGATTGTTTTGGGCTGAAAATATTTGAGAAAGTATAGAACATATACTACCTTTATAAAGGAGTAAATATTCAAAATAGTCCATCGACTATAGCTAAATTCACAAATTAGTCCTCAACTTTCAATTTTAACCAATTAAGTCCTTAACTTTGTAATTTTGACACGATTTGGTCCTCCATCTATTTGACCATTTGTTGACCGTGATCGACGATCTCCAGAAGAACCTTCAGCTTCGTCGGAGCACGTGGAGGCCTCCAGGATGACGTTGCACCGGTTCGGAAACACGCCGTCTTCTTCGCTCTGGTATGAACTCAACTACATTGAATCCAAAGGGAGGATGAAGAAAGGCGACCGAATTTGGTAGATTGCTTTCAGCAGTGGATTCGAATGTAACAATGCGGTCTGGAAATGCAACCGAAATCTTAAAAAATCGATGATGGACCATGAAATTATATATTCTCAAAAATCACAGTCAACAAACGGTCAAATAGACAGAGGATCAATTTGTGTTAAAATTACAAAGTTAAGGACTTAATTGGTTGAAATTAAAAGTTGAGGACCAATTTGTGAATTTAGCTATAGTCAAGGGACCATTTTAGGTATTTACTCTTTATAAAGAATCATGAGTATTTCAAAAAAAAAATATTGAACAAGAAAATAATTAATTTAAATGTGTTATTGTCACTTTTGGTCCCATAAATTTGGTGATATTTTCATTATTGATGCATGATTATAAAAGATCATTGTAGGATTTGTAGATGCACGATTTTTTTTCTCACTTTTTTTTTTTAATTTATATTTTCGGTGAACTCTAGTGAAAATTAGTAACAAAATTCATTGATGCACCACAGGAACTCTTGCTTGAAGCCATAAAGGTGGAGACAATCTCAGCCAAATTGAACATACAGTTAATTATAATCATAATGTTTCAAAGTTTGTTTATGTGAAAATTGTCAATTGACTTTCTTGATTTGAGCTAGTGAATTATGTATAATTTAAATTGTTTTATCTCATTATCGTCTCTTATCATAATCCAAAATAAATATTTGTATAGTGATTACAGAATTTTTCATAAAAAAATAGTAAATGTGAACAAAAAATATAAAATTTACACTTACCGTAACAATTCGTATAGATGTGCACTAATAATAAAAGTATTAACAAAAGTGATAATAAATTATCTTTAAAAGTTAGTAGTTTTTTGTATTGGTGTTTTATTAAAAAAAAAAAAAACTAATTTAACAAGTTGTCTACTAACAATTGAAATTGAGTTTATACTCTGTTAACAAATCCTAATTATCATAGTGGTTATACTCCGTTAACCAATCTTGATTAGCATATTACACAAGAATGACGTAAACTTTATAGTATGAATTGTAACATCTAAAAATAAAGGGGTCAAATTGAAAATTCACTAAATTATTATTGGGGCAAAAAAGCAATAAGATAAAAGAAGAGTGGGAGTGAAAGCTAAAACTTAATCGTAGGAAACAAAATGCCTTTTTCTCCCCCTATACTTCTCTGTTTCTCATAATCTCACTATTGCCCCGCTACCCTCTCCTCTCTTCTCCGTCGAGTGAGTCAGTATCGAGTCAGCCACGCCGTCCGAGTTCTGTCGGCTCTTCTCAGCCCGTCCCTCGTTGGATTTCGCCGCGGAAGGGTGAAGAAGGCGACGGCGCCGTCATTCGTAGAAGACTAGAGCGGTTTAAGAATTTTATTTTTTTATAAAATTTTTACAAGAAATTTTTTCTAGGGCTTCGGTTTTGGGTTTCCTTAGGGCTCAACCCGTGAATTGATTGTGTTGTCGCAGACCTCATTCAGGTACCTCACTTTTTAAGCTTATTCATTGATTCTTTATTATTGTTGTTGTTTGTGTGTTATTTATTTATAGTTTCGTTTTTCTTCTTCGAAAAATACCGAATTTTCTTAGTTAATTATAGATTTTTGCAAGTTTAGGTGTTTTCAGAAGGCGTTTTTTTCCAATTCTTTTTGGGATTTTGATTCTTTCTTCTAGCTATATCTTGTGTTGCAGGGCGGTAGCCTAATTGAGAGGAACCCTAATTATTGGCCCGTCAGCATTTGCTATCCCGGTGAGTACGAGACAGGCATAAAAGGTCACTTTCATCTTTTAGTGCTATTTTGGTTCTCAGCATCAGTGATTTAACTGCAAGAGAGTTTTTTTGAGGTTAGTATTTTCTCATTGATATTTGTTGTTTACTTATTGCCTGAATTTTCTGGTTTGTTGATGCAATGACGCTAATATGTATCCTGTGTTCCTTAAATAAGCAGTCTTGTCATCTGATTTTGCCTTGGGTGGATGATTGCTACTTCTTCATTTTAATTAATAATTTCCTTAGATGTTTGGGTGGTTTTGGGGTTGGGGGTGGGGGATGCTACTTTACAGCATCTTTGGTTTTCATGGTTTATGAAATGTGCTCTTATTTGCTTTGAAGTTGTTTGTTTTTTGGTTACACATACACCTGAATGGAGAAAACAGGAGTAAAAGGCTTAGAAGAGAAACAACACAAAGAAGAAAAGAGAATAATGATAGTTAAGGAGCTCACATTAGGTCAAATGGGAAACCCTTGTGTCAGGTGACCTAACTGTGGATGTCCCCTTGTGCAGTTATACTGGTTTGGCATAGTAGTGCTGATAAATGAATTCGTACTTTATGTTGCATGCTTTTTCTGCTTTAATAAGGACCTATAGGGAAGAGAAGAGTATTGCTTGTAATAATGATGTTATGTTTGGCTAGGATTTAGTAGCTAGTTATTTGGGTAGTTATGCAACATGAAGATTAAGTGAATTATTTGTCTAGATACAAAATTCTTTTGCTGTACAAGTAAAAGGATGCTGTTACTAATATACCCACTGGGATGAATGCAAGACTTAGGATTGTGCTCATACTCATAGATCTCTTAGTAGGTTTCATCTCCTTTATTGTTGCTTTTGATTACTTTTACCTTTATTTTAATTAAGTTGGCTTCAATTTGTGTAATTTATTTATAGGATATTGCTGGGTGATGGTCATGTAAATATTTGCTGTTGTATATAGAGACCTTTTAATTTGTTCATAATTTGGTGGGTCAAGTGGTACATATGGCTGCTTTGGCTGGTGATTCCTCAAACCATGGAGTGCATGAAGCTGGAGCTTATAAGATCTCTCAAGAAATGCCAGAGGAAAGTGGTGGCCGCTGGTATTTCTCTAGGAAGGAGATTGAAGAAGATTCCCCCTCTAGACAAGATGGGATTGATTTGAAGAAAGAGACTTACTTGCGCAAATCATATTGTACATTCTTACAAGATTTGGGCATGAGACTTAAAGTGTGAGTTCTTGACTTTTCTGATTGTTTCATTGATTTTCCTATTTTCTCTTGGATGAATACAATAATTTGAAAATTTTTTGGGGCATTATAATTGTTTATAGTCCATTGCTGGTTGCATTGAATTGAAGATGGTGCTTTAAAATATACTCGGTTATGTATTGTATCTCATATCCTAATATCATGGGATTTGAGATTGCTGGGTACACAGAATTGAATAGTTCAATTTTAAATGTATACTATATAGCATTATACTGTAGTACATAATATTTTAATGTGATAATGCCTAATCACATTCAGGCATTCAGCTTAATTAATGTAGACCTGAAATTCTTGTGTTAAAGATTATTTAATAGTTGTGGCTAGTTGGTCACTTGGTATGGTTTTTTAATCAACAAAGATTTTGAAGAGCAAGGTAATAGTTACTCTTATATGTTCTTGACAATTTACTTTGTAAATTTATCCTTTTGTTTCTACCAGATAAAAATACATGCTTATACTAGTATGACTGTTCTTACAGGGTTAAAATGTTACATAAAAATGTGGTTGATAAAGGTTTTAATAGTGGTATCACATATTCACATGATATTTTATGTACATAAAATTTAAATCCTTGAAAATTTTCCATTTGATGTGATATGATGTTTGATTTTTAACATGCAGACCTCAGGTGACTATTGCTACAGCAATAATATTTTGTCATCGTTTCTTTCTTCGACAATCTCATGTGAAGAACGATAGGAGGGTAAGTTATTTCTTTGTTTGTTCATTTATGTATTTAATTTTTCATCATTATTCTCCCACCTTTTTCTGCTGGATGCACTGGTAGGAGGTAGCTACTGTTGTTTGAGACCTAATGTCACATCAAGCTTTACTTAATCCTTCTATTTGTACATATACATGTGGTTGTGTGTGAATATAATGTATTTGTATACCATGTTATAAGTTGTTCTTATGTACATACGTAATATGCCACTTAATTCTTCTTTTTGGTCAAATGAGGATATGCATGAGTTTTTGATATGTTAACTGCCGATTTTATTTTTATTTTTATTTTTTGTTGTTAGTATCTGCGGATAATTTAAATGTTAATATTATTTGTATTTTGTATTGTGGAAGTGTTTGAATGAACCCAATTGTGGAACCAAAGCTTAACTGTCCTGCCTGGATGCAGATTATGAATGTGCTAGAGTGTGAAGGGATGTTTGTAGTTTGTACAGTGTGACATTGTTATGATCCCAAAATGGAGGTGTTTGTGTTCATTGTTTCTCTCTGTCATCAAAACTATCTTAAATGACTAAGCTCATTTGTAGACTCACAAATTAAATGAAGATGGATATAACTTGATTTTTAACTCATTGACGTAAATAAAATGTTAAATACCAAATTTGGATGATGGTAAAACTGAGTGGCAAAGCCATATTTATTAGATCATTAGATCCTTCTATGAAAGTTGTAGTGACAAATTTTAAGCAGGGTATATGACTACATGGTTGGATGCTGTGCAACATTAACTCTGCAGGTAGTTCGACATGCCTATTTAGGCACATATCCTGAACTCCCCTTGTTACTTCTAAGGGTCTTATTTCTTATAAAAGTAGGAAAGCTGAAAAAACTGCAGTCAAAATTAGGATTGTTTATGCTGAAACTAGTTGCTCTCTTTTTGTTGTTCCATGAATATCTGTTACAAATATTTTAGGCTTGTATTCATTTAGTACTAAACCAATTGGGATGATTTTGTTTATGAAGGATCTCTGAGTTTTTGAATATTTGGTCTGCTTTATCGATATATACAATTATACAAACTAGTAATACACACGTTGCACTAAGTGTGGTGCTCAACATCAAAGCATAATATTAAAATGATAATTATATTTAAATTATTTAATAAAATAATGTGAAAGGAATAAAGATAATTAATAATATATGATCTCACAAAACCTGAAGGAATAAACAAAGAAAGTGAAGAGAACCATCAGAAAATCAGTGAAGAATTAAAGAAAGATAGTCAGGTCATAGTTTACAGAGTAAGCAAACTGATGTTATAACTTTGGTGGCATATTCGTCCAACAAAACTTAAGGTAAATTCATGGAAAAACCCGGATATAAACAAATAGTAAAACCTTCATTTGCTATCATAATGTTTTAGATTTGGTGTGTGCTAAAATGTCTATTGGTCAAAAAGGGAGAGAAGTTGAATGTCGCTTTTTGGAACTAACAAATTCTTGCCTTATTGAATTTGTGCCTCTTGTAGATTGTTGCCACCGTATGTATGTTCCTTGCTGGAAAGGTTGAAGAAACACCTCGTCCCTTGAAAGATGTTATAATGGTTTCATATGAGCTAATTAATAAAAAGGATCCAGGAGCAAAAGAAAGGATTAAGCAAAAGGTATTGTTTATTCTGTTGATGGTAGTACTTTTCACATGCTCTTGCTGGTGTTTTTGCTGTTCATTATTCTGCTTGAGCAAAATTGGTTAGGCAAGTTATTAGCAAGCAATCAGATTAGTCATGGAACAAGTATCTGAAAATGTTTACATGTCGTGCAGGAGATCTATGAACAACAAAAAGAACTAACTTTGCTTGGAGAGAGGGTGGTCCTTGTCACTCTTGGTTTTGACCTTAATGTGCATCATCCATATAAACCCCTTGTTGAGGCAATAAAGAAATTCAAGGTTGCTCAAAATGCCCTTGCCCAAGTTGCTTGGAATTTTGTTAATGATGGGTAGGAGTGCTGCTTATTGTAGTTTTGTAGGGTATCAATCTATGAGCATTTTTCCATCTATATCTTGACTGGTGAAAGCCATGTGCAGGCTTCGGACATCTTTATGCTTGCAATTTAAGCCTCACCACATTGCAGCGGGTGCCATTTTTCTTGCTGCCAAGTTCCTCAAAGTAAAACTCCCATCTGATGGTGAGAAGGTTTGGTGGCAGGAATTTGATGTTACCCCACGGCAATTGGAGGGTAGGTGCTTTGCCTTGGATATACTATGCTATAGATAAGATTCGTATATTTCAACAACCACTGTTACAATGATAATGGCTCATCATAGAAGAAATATTCTGAATAGGTTTTTTGAAGTTAAGTGGTTTTTTTTTGTTTTTTTTTTTTTTTTTTTTTTTTTTTTTTGGGTTTTTGAATGGGGGTTTGAAGGATTGAGAGGATCGTGAAAGATGGCAGAGGCATTAAATTGCTATTCCTTTTTTTACTATGTTACTTTACTCTTGCAGAGGTGAGCAACCAAATGCTAGAATTGTACGAACAGAACAAGGCACCTCCTTCTCAAGCAAACGAAGCAGAAGGAAGTGTTGCAGGTAGCCAAAGACCTGTAAAATCCTCTGCCACAAATGAAGATCATGTGACCAATAACAGCAATTCACAGGGTGGTGGTCCTATAAAGGCAGGACCTTCCAAGCCAGCTTCCCATAGGCCAACTCCTGATCTGTCACATGCTGATAATAATGGTGGGCCTCCTAGGGGTGCTCAAGATCGAAGTCATGACTTTGAAAGTGCGGAAAATAATTCAGACCATTTTGCTGATGGTGAGACTAGTGGAAAGCACAGCCATGAAAGAGAGCTTTTGCCTCACCAGGGGAGTGGAGGGGAAATCCAAAACAGGTCAAAAACAAACCCTGGGAGTCATGGTGAAGAAGACCGAGAACGAAATGCTGGGAGAACTGAAACAAGGGATAAGGGGGAATTGAAGGACAAGTACTATGGTCGAGCTTTGGAGCGCAAGGATGGTGCAGTTGGTCAATCACCGCAGGAGGTGATTAAAAAGATTGACAAAGACAAGGTCAAAGCAGCACTTGAGAGGAACAGGAAGTCCCGTGGGGATTCAACTAGGAAAGTTGATTACATGGATGAGGATGATCTCATTGAAAGAGAATTGGAGGATGGAATAGAGTTAGCTGCCGAGAATGAAAAAAACAAACGTGAAAGAAAACAAAGCTGGTCTAAATCTTCAATCAAGTCAGAGCATGAAAGTTCCCATCAAGATGGGGGTGGAGATGGACAGTACCAAGTGAAGAAAGAGCAGCCATCGCGTAATGCAGATTATGACAATAATGTGGAAGAGGGAGAGCTGGATCCTTATGATGATATTGACAAGGGATATCATTCCCCAAAGTTGAGCAACCGGAAGCGAAAGGCAACTAGCCCCCCTATGGAGGGTAAGCAGAGGTATGAATATGGCTCAGGGACCCACAACCACACATACCATGACTTCCCAGAAGATAGAAACACGGGGAAAATTGCTTATTCAGAAAGAGACCACAAAAGGCATGTGCAGGAGAATCATGTGTGAAATGTGTTTGTTGCCAGCAGCAGCAGCAGCAGCAGCATTTCTCAGTCATTCTGAATGTTCAACCAGAGTCGGTTGCATTGGATGTCCGTGATTTGGGTTGCTAGAATTTTTTGAGACAGCTTAAACCTCCGACCACTGAGAGAGAGGTTCTATTCATAGAAGAAAAACACAAAGTGTCAGTTTTGAGGAAAGATTTGGCCAGGTATCCATGTTGGTCCTCTTTTTACTTTGTGAACATGATAGACACAATTCACTATGCTTGCTTATATGCATGCTTGCGTTTATGGTGCCAGTCCTTGTTGCTATTGGAACATATATGGTAGAAATCCAAAGATTGTCAGAACTAGAGTGTGCACCTGAACAGGGAAAGAAATAAATAGTTTTGCCATTATGCTGTCTACTCTACTCTACTCTGCAGATCTAGGCTATAGGCTATTGGAGTTGCATGAATGTGTTAATGCTTACTAGTCATTTGTTTGTTTCATTTAATGCCAAAAATGTAAGACTTACTTTGAATTCCAGTTTCTTTAATGATAGATAGATTTAGAAATGGAAATAGGCATATTTTGATATTCATTTTACCCTAAAATAAAATGATGATAAATGATGGCATTCATGACCTTTTGCCCTTAATATTATACCTTTTTTCCTTCTGTAGCAATGTTTGTTTTTTTTTTTTTTTTTTTTTTTTTTTTTTTTTTTTTTTTTTTTTCCATAATTGTCAATAGGGATCAGTTCAGATTAACAACAAATTAAGTACTTCGTATGATATTTTCGCCGAAATAAGCGGCCTAATGACACTGTTGACTGGAAATATGAACATTGGTCCTATTAGCTGTTGACCAATTTATTGTTTTAGTTTTTCTCTTTTTGTACAAATATGTTTTTGCATATGTATTTATAGAAATTACTTAAATTGATAAATCTACTATATTTATATATACTAATAAGAGCTCAAGAGAGTCAGACCTATAATGGATAGAAAAAATGGCGGTCAAATTTTTTAATCAAATGAATGGCTCAGATTGATCAGATTTTAATTTTTCTTTGAGATTTCCTAATTTATCCTTAATTTTATGATTTTCCGTTAACTTTTCCGTTAAATATTATCTTTTCCGTTAATTTCTGTTAGTTAACCGTTAACTTACTTAGTGATTTCAATAAGAAAGGTCTTAGGTTCGAACCCCATCCCAATCAAAGTTGGCATAATTATTACTCTATTTTACTCTTATTAAATTAAATACTAATTTAGTAGGTACAACAAAAAATAATACATATGCATTTCTTTAATAATTTAGAATTATATGTCTATACAATGCCTTTATTTAAAAAAAATATTCATTATCAATAAATTAAATAAGAGAAATAATTTCATTAGTTATATTTTCTTTATTTTTCTCCAATATAAAAATTCTTTACATTCAAATTCATCAATTGATTATATTCACTACATTGTCCTCCCTACAATGTCTTTATTCAAAAAAATTTATTCATTATCAATAAATTAATTAAAAGAAATAATTTCATTAGTTATATTGTCTTTATTTTTTCTTCAATGTAAAAAATATTATTTACATTCAAATTCATCAATTGATTATATTCACTACATTGTCTATTATTTTTTATGCAGTGTTTTCTTTATTATTAATTATCAAATTTATAATACAAAATAATGCTATATATTTATTTACCAAATATTTTATTAATACCATGAAAAAATTAAAAAAAAATAATTAAGCCAATCATATTAACTACTTGAGAGATTTGTTGACAAAGAGAATATTCAAATCACACAACAAATTGAATTGAGAAACTACCTCGCAATGTCCTTGTTTGACAATCAGCAGTTAGCGAATTATATTAGCGGATTTGATCTATATAATCCTTTGCAACAAAAATACTTGACAACTATTTAAAAAAAATTTAGTAACAATTATAATGAATATCCTGTATTACATTTTATTCATATATTATGAGTTAAATATTTAAATAAAGAAATTCGACATTAAATTATTTATGTATAAACTTCTCATATATAATCTTGCATTAATATATACTTTCAAATATTTATTTAATTATAGACATTGGGCATTATCCCAATCGCGCAATGCGCGTAAAAAACTAGTAGATTATTATTATTATTATTATTATTTAGCGTGTCAGGAATTTTAATCCACATAATATGCCAAATTATCCTAACGGAATTATTACTGGAGGTATAATCTATTAAGGAAAATGCTTTTTATTTTTGTCCGCATTTTTCATTGCCTAGCATCCTTTCGTGAGCTGTGAAGTTAGTAAGTTAAAAGTCCAATTAAAAGTCCCATTAAATGAAAAAGGTTGAATGACCAACACATTTCCATTAGAAAATGTGGTAAAAAGTGAAGGGAGTCTGTTACAATTTATCAGATATTTTTTGGAGTTCAATAATTTAATTTCACCGATTGTGACAAGTAGAAAAATCTTATATTCTCATTTTAGTAATATATAAATTATTGAAAAGTATACGGTGTTTATTGACATTGGTGCCCCTTACACTAGATATGACTTAAAGTTCTAGAAGTTATACCATGTGTAATCGTGAGGACAACGTTTCCATTACATCTGATATAATTTTAAAGTTTTTCCTTATTTTATTTATTTATTTATTTTTTAAATTATACTCATTACGATCAACATCTTAAAATTTCTCAATATTTGTGTTGTTTGTCTTCATGTGATGGGAGGAGTGGATGCAGGTTGGTGGGTGATGCAAGTGATATGGAAAATGATAAGTTTAGTAAAATTTTGGATACATTTAAAAGTCTAGTTACTCGATAAATGTATAATTATTATTATGGATCCATTTCGACTTTGTTTGGCATGCCAAGTTGAAAAAATTAGTAGATAATAAGTTAATTAATTGAAATTAAAATGTTTAGTAAAATTAATTATTAATTAGTTGATAAATGTAAAAAGACATGAAATGATAAATTAAGATATTAGAATTTGATTAATGAAGGATAAGGATAACAAAAATAAATAAAATTTCAAGAGCTTATTTTGAGACGGTACTTCTAATAGTGTTTCAAAATAAGTTATTAATTTAAGTTTTTTATATTTTACCAAACAAAATTATAACTCATTTATAGTTTAAAATAAATTATAAGGTCTAAAATAAGTTCTACCAAATATAACTTTGATGCCATAATCATTTGTATTTGTGGGAAGTTTGTGGAAAATTTGTGGAAAAATGAAAGTGGGCAAACGTTGCACAGCATTAGGAGTTTGGAGTGACTTTGGACGCTGATGAAAAGTCTACGTAGTGCCCAGTGGCCCCCAACACTGCCATACTTCACAGTTCACACGATAGAAAATGATAAGTATACTTTTATAAAATAAAATAAAAAATGTAAACATTATGACTATCTTGTTTAATCAGTCAAAATATGTTACTCGTATATCAATATAGAATAAACCATTTAAATAAAAGTCTCTGGTATTGTACACGGCCGCGGCCTTCATGAAGCAAGCGGATCGGAGACGACGTCTGATCATCTTCTCCTGCTATCATCTTTATCACATACAGCGTCCGCCTTCACCGTTTTTCTCCTCCATCTCCACCGCTACCGGTCGTTACTCCCTTGTTTTCGTACTGTTGTTTCCTTTTGCTTTGTTTTACTGGTTTAATTTTATTTGCAATTTCTATGTTTTTTCTCTCGTTGTTTTGACGAGTTCCTTCCTCTCGTTTACTTGGCGAGTTCTTTTTCATAAAGCGTGAAACGATAAAATCGGTCATGGCGTATGTGAATCTCATCCTAGGTGAGAAACATGACAATGAAAAAGAGACTCATCTAAACTATGATATGCAGTTCAACCCGATAAAGATAATGTCAATGGATAGAAGAACCGAAATAGATACTCGTGGTGTGCAAGACTGTTGAACCAATGTCAGTCTTGGATATGTTTGACCAAATCATTAAAGAAGCTTTAAATTCCCCCAACGAATTAAGCTTCAAATTTGTGAAACAATATGCGAATCAAGTTTTCTGTAGCATTGCTAAAGAAGTTGTTTCTATGACTGACGGTAAGGAATGTTTGACCATTCCAACGATCTTTATTGTAAACTTTTTAGTCTATGATTAATGAATTAGCTTCTTTACTTAAAAAAAAAAATGAACTAATTTCACTTTTGGTCCCACGACTTTAGAGGTTCTATCATTTTTGGTGCACAACTTTAAATTTTTTCAATTTTGGTGTCTAACTTTGTTATTTTTATCAATTTTGGTCCTTTCGACCAAATTGACTGCGAAATATTGCTGGATTTTACATTTTAGGGGCAAAATCATCATCCCAAGGAAAGATATTCAATATCCAAACAAAAGAAAAATCATGTTAAGAGAAATATAAGAGTTTGGCAATCGTCGATGCTATAAATCTCATAGATCTGTGTTTAGTTTCTGTCCGTCTTCCTAATTATTCTCATCGATCAAACACTTATAGATATGATTTTAGAGTGATTTTGTTTAGATATTGAAGATGTTTCCTTGGGATGACGATTTTACCCCTAAAAATATAAAATCTGGCAATATTTCATCGTCAATTTGGTTGAAAGGACCAAAATTGATAAAAACAACAAAGTTAGGCACCAAAATTGAAAACTTTTAAAGTTGTGCACCAAAAGTGATAGATCCTCTAAAGTCGTAGGACCAAAAGTGAAATTAATTCAAAAAAAAATCATTAAATAAAAAGTGGCCACCCATATAATATTACTATGTATAATGTTGGATAGTGGGTTATAGACATGTCTTGTGCAAATTATATCGTGGACCAAAGTTCTCTATGCATATTGTAAACTCTAATTTAGATCAATAGTTATGCCATTGATTCGGGTCAAAATACACAATTTATATACTGAATGTTTACAATTTACATACTAAATGTTCACAATTCAAATTGTGAACATTAAGCATGTAAATTATGAATATTCAGTATATAAATTGTGCAGTTTTGGACCCGGCTCTACCTTACAAGGTGGACTCGAGTCCACATAATAATTTGCCAATTTAGATTCAATTAACAGATTATATACATTCAGTTATCATATGTTAATTATATGTTATATATACATAATCTGGACCAAGTTCATAATGTTTATGGTGGACCCTGATCAATGATATATATAACCAATGTTGTAAAAATCACGCCTAGCTAGGCTCTAGGCGGTGTCCGGCTGCGTCAAAGAACGCCAGAATCGGCCTTCTCCGCGGCCTGCGTCTAGCCGAAGCCGACTTATGCCTTTTTTTTTTTTTTTTTTTTTTTTTTTTTTTTTTTTTTTTTTTTTTAAGGATTATTCGTTCAAAATGACGTCGTTTTGAGCGATTAATGCTAAAAAAAAATAAAATTGCCAGTCCATTCACATTTTGCCTAAATCGTCGACACGAGACGTCTCCAGCCGTCCAGTGTTGCCTCCGCTCTCGGCTCTTCTCCATCCTCCGCGGCTCCGCCTCGTCGCTGCTGCAGCCTGCATGTAAGTGTTTTGCTTTTTTTTTTTTTTTTTTTCTATTTTTTTTAATAAAAATAAATAAATAAACCGA